AACATGTAATAAATATTTATATTTAAATATTTATATTTGATTATTATGTCAAATATATTCAAATGTTAAAGATCTCAACTTTTCAAGGTAAGAATATAATTGCAAGTCAGTATTCAAACAGAATTCAGAACTATAAGGCCATGTGACGTCTTATGTCACATTGCTTTTTCCATGTTTGTTTGTTGCAAGGCTGTATGGTAGGAACATTTAAATGTTTGCTTCTACTTTTATCCTGATGATTACTTAGTTTCTCTTAGTTACTTAATTAATATTCCTTAATATTTTCATTTTTCATCTGTAAGTAAAATTGTTCCTATACCACTGAATTTTATTAGTTTCATTTCTTATATTTTATTTACTTATCCTGGGACAACAACTTTGTGAAGAGGTGAATAGGTGCCTATCCTTCATCCCCATTATTAGCGATATTTATTTCCTACATATATTGTGAAAGAATTACCTATACCTTTGCAGTTTTCATTGTTCATTTTTATTGTTCACAGTATATTATATTAGTAAGTAAATTATCATATAAGTAATTATTATATATTGAGTATTGTCTACATCAATCCTGTACTCTCCTCCTTTGTCGTCCTTCATTCTGATCATTGTCATCTATTAGTCATCTTCAGACTCCACCATTCATCAATGTAATGTAGGTTTGAGTTCTTCCTCCCTCCCTCCCTCCCTCTGATGGAGGAAGGTCATTGGATAATAAAGAAACTGCTTGGCCCTGATAGATTAGAACATAGGTCGGCCGAGTAAACAGAACAGAATGCTGGGAGGAAGAGGAAGTTAGCTCAGACTCGATAGCTCTCCTCTCTAGGGCAGATGTGATGAAGCTTCGACCCAGGATGGATGTAGGCTAGAATCTTCCCAGTAAGCACACCTTGGGGTGCTACACACATTTATAGAAATGGGCCAAGCAGTGCTTAAAAGAATACAGTTTGTGTGTTGTTATTTTGGGGCATAAGCTAGCCAGGAGGCCAGGAGCCAGGGTGTGGGAAGAGGCCCGCAGCTCCTACTACATCCCTGCCTCCCTCCTTCTCTCTTTCTCTCTCTCTCTCTCTCTCTCTCTCTCTCTCTCCCTCTCTCTCTCTCTGTCTCTCCCTCTCTCTCCTTTCTTCTTCTTTTTTTTATTGTTTGTTTTTTGAGGCAGGGTTTATCTGTGTAACAGCCCTAACTGTCTCATAGCTAGCTCTGTAGACCAGGATTGCCTCGAACTCACAGAGATCTACCTGCTTCTGGTCCCAAATGTGTGTGATTAAAGGTGTGTACCACCCCCGCTTAGGTAGATTTCAGTTCTCAATACAACACTAAATTTCTATATCTGTGATTATTCTTATTTTCTTTTTTAGTTAATGAAGAATTTGTTGATGTAGTATGGTTTCCTGACTTCTGTCAAATCTGAATGGTGTATTACCTTATTTATTGATAAACTTGATGTTCTTATCTCTTGCTGAAAATCCTTAATATATTTGACAGATGTCTATACTGTACAAATTTGCTTTCTAATAATTTTATCAAGTTTAATTACATAATTTTTCTGGCCTGAAATCACTAAAATAAGAAAATTATTAGAAAGTATTTATTTCATGTTGAGTTTTGTAACTTGACTACTCATGTTTTCATCATTGTGAGGGGTTGTACAGTACATAGTTCTGGCTTTGAAAGGATCAAAAAAAAACCAAATTCCATGAATTATGTCAAGACGTTATACTGTTACTAATTATTCTAGCAATTTTCTTGCAACAGTAGTGATCTCTAATGAAAAAAAAAACCTGAGGATCAATTCATAATCAAGCAAAATATGTAACTCAAGATGGTTAAAAGGTGATGCAATCCCATTTCTCAAATCCCAAGGTTCAAGTGATTTCACGTCTAAACCAATTACTGTTTTCTTTAATTATTACTTTGGGGTCTGATGAAAATTAGTTTAAGGATAAACACTGACAATTACAAATAGGGCATAAATCATTTTCAGCAGCTCCTTGGCTGGGCCTTATGTGTTTCTTGGAGAATTTTACCTGAGTTCAGGTAGGAATGGAAATCATGACTTTTGTATTCCAACTTTTTTGTTTGTTTCAGTTTAGATATTCATCACGAGGAATTAAATGTTAACAAAATCCTTTTGAATACCAGTGTATGGTTTTATCTCACAGAAAGTATAATCTTGTAATTATAAAAAAATGATACTATGTTTTTTTGTACTAAGAGTAACTCTAACTCCTTTCATTCATGTTTGCTTTACTATAACACAGACAGTTGAACGTTTTCTCCATGTGGTTAATGCAATTAAATTCAAATTTTTGACCCACTACCACAACAGAGTTGCCAACATTATAACATAGGCTGTGAAATATTTCATTTCAGAAAAATAATGAGAAAATAAATTAATAAGAAGATGAAAATGTGACCTAATTATTAGTGATTTAAATTTCCTTTATCTATGTCATATAGACTGCTGTGTGTAAAATTCTTTATTTAGTAACTCACATATATCTTTGTTATTCCAAGTAACTTCATGCTTTTGCATTTCCACAAAAATGCTATATTCTAAAACTTTAATATTATAGCCAGTCACTGGGAAAACCTTTTCTAATTTTTTTTAAAAGGAGACTATAGTTTCACAACAAACTATGATGTGAATTTGGAAGTTCATTCCCATTTGGACTATTATTGCATCATGACTCCCTCCCTCATCCTAAGGCAATCGAATAACACAGAATCCTTCCTGGGACACACCATTATACCTTCTGCACATAAAATTTCACACTGCCATTGCTAATATAATGATTTCCAAATGTTTGACAAGTTCTGAGAATTTCAGACCCTTTAGTTTCATAATTATATATAATTATATATATGTGAATATATATAATTATGAAATTATATATATGATATAATATTATTTGGTTGCTATCAAATACAGCTGAAAGCCAGTCCATTCTTTTTCTCCACCGTTTCTAAACAAAGGTGAAAAAATCTTACGTTAGTATGAAAGAATCCTGAAAACTAGTTTTAACAGTTCCTGGAGCAGAAGGTATAATGGTGTGCTCCAACTAAGGTGGGAGGAGAAAACAGGACAGAACACTGGGAGGAAGAGGAAGTGAGCTCAGAGACTCCACAGCTCTCTCGGGAGCAGACGCCTCAGCAGAGACACCATGCCCCGCTCCCGGCATGAAGCTCCGACCCAGGATGGACTAGGCTAGAATCTCCCCGGTAAGACCGGTTCTCACAGATTATTAGAGATGGGTTGATCGGGATGTGAGAATTAGCCTGTAAGTGCTAGAGCTAAAGGGCCAAGCAGTGCTTAAAAGAATACAGTGTCTGTGTAATTATTTTGGGGCATAAGCTAGCCATGTGGGCGGCCGGGTGTGGGGGACGCAGCCCTGCCGCCCCATATTACTACAGCCGGGGTGCTGGGGACGCAGCCCCGCCGCCCTTACTACTTCAGTTGGAACCCCACGTTGGGCGCCAACTGAAGTAGTAAGGGCGGCGGGGCTGCGTCCCCAGCACCCCGGCTGTAGTAATATGGGGCGGCAGGGCTGCGTCCCCCACACCCGGCCGCCCACATGGCTAGCTTATGCCCCAAAATAATTACACAGACACTGTATTCTTTTAAGCACTGCTTGGCCCTTTAGCTCTAGCACTTACAGGCTAATTCTCACATCCCGATCAACCCATCTCTAATAATCTGTGAGAACCGGTCTTACCGGGGAGATTCTAGCCTAGTCCATCCTGGGTCGGAGCTTCATGCCGGGAGCGGGGCATGGTGTCTCTGCTGAGGCGTCTGCTCCCGAGAGAGCTGTGGAGTCTCTGAGCTCACTTCCTCTTCCTCCCAGTGTTCTGTCCTGTTTTCTCCTCCCACCTATCCTCTAACCAATAAAATGGGCCAGGGCAGTTCCTTTATTAGCCAATGACCTTCCTCCATCAAACTAAGAAAGCAGTGGATGAAAGTGACTTGCACTAAAATCAAAACTTACACCCTAACTGCATGGTAGGTGAGTGTTCAGCTGCATTATCTGCATCGTGTTTATTCACATTCACTTTCTTTCATTTATAAGGAACAAAATTCATGAATGTGAAAATTGCTGTAAGAGTTAGACTTCATTATCAACTAAGCTAAAGGAAATCTAGGTCACTGGTAAAAACCTTGTTACATGGGGTGTAAGGGGTCTCAGAGACCCAAAATTGGTCTGAGAATTGGAAAGCTGTGTAGTGGAGATCTCCACAATATGGTTGAGAACTATCTAATCTTTACAAGTCTAGAGGAAACAAAAAAGAAAACATATGAATGCCTGTCTCTGTCTTTTTAAAACAAGATATATCCTCTCTACAGAATTCTGTTCAATAAAGTCATCATTCATTAAAAAAATTTAAAAAAAAAAAAGAATCCTTCCTGGGTAGAAATGAACCTCACCTGTGCTTTTAGCTAAATGTGGCTATGTTTGATCTTCAATATTATGAGCCCTCATGATTATGAGACCTGACTGGGGGAATAACTCAGTGCATAGAGCACCTGCTTTTATCCTTTCACCATATACATGAGGTCATGCATTCCCTATAACGTATTTAAACTGATTGTGGTAATATGTGTCTGTAATCTCAGTTTCCCTATATTGAAAAGGTAATTTAGTAACAAGAGATGCTAAGTCTGCCCCAACCAGGCAAGAGGGAAGGAACAACACCCATGCTTGTACTGACCTCTTCGTGCACACTGTAGTGTGCATATACCACTCATGCACTTGAGAGTGCGTGTACACACACACATACACACATACATACACACCAAAGAAAGAGTTTCCTTTTTTTTTTCTTTTTTAAGGATTTGAACATCCAGGGTAGTAGTTCTGACATTCTAAGACCTTTGAAACAGTTTTGAGGATAAATAATAAGAGAGAGGTAGGGGAATAGGAGAAAAAAGAGAAAATATCTAACAAGCATTCTCATTTACACTTCTCTAATCCATCCAAGTGATCATGCTGGCACCTAAGAACATGGTCAAAGGCAATTACTCCCTGGTGACTGAATTTGTTCTCTTGGGATTGACAGACCGTCCAGAGCTACAGCCTATCCTTTTTGTGCTCTTCCTGGCGATCTATCTGATCACTGTTGGAGGGAATCTTGGCATGATCGTGTTGATCAGGGTAAATTCACGCCTGCATACTCCTATGTACTACTTTCTTGCCAGCTTGTCCTGCCTGGATCTGTGCTATTCTACCAACGTGACTCCCAAGATGCTGGTGAACTTCTTATCAGAGAAGAAAACCATTTCTTATGCTGCCTGTTTAGTTCAGTGTTATTTTTTCATTGCTATGGTTATTACTGAATATTATATGCTGGCGGTGATGGCCTATGACAGGTACATGGCCATCTGTAACCCTTTGCTTTACAGCAGCAAGATGTCCAAAGGGGTATGTGTACGTCTGATTGCTGGTCCTTATATTTATGGCTTTCTTAGTGGCCTGATGGAAACCATGTGGACATATCGGTTGACCTTCTGTGGCTCCAATATCATCAACCACTTCTACTGTGCTGACCCTCCTCTCATCAGACTTTCCTGCTCTGACACTTTCATTAAGGAAACATCTATGTTTGTGGTAGCAGGATTTAACCTCTCCAATTCCCTGCTTATAATTCTCATTTCCTACCTGTTCATTCTCATTGCCATCCTGAGGATGAATTCTGCTGAAGGGAGGCGCAAAGCCTTTTCTACCTGTGGGTCTCATCTGGTGGCAGTGACTGTGTTTTATGGAACTCTGTTCTGCATGTATGTTAGACCTCCCACAGACAAGTCAGTCGAACAATCCAAAATCATTGCTGTGTTCTATACTTTTATAAGCCCCATGTTGAACCCCATCATTTACAGTCTGAGGAACAAGGATGTGAAACATGCTTTTTGGAAGCTGGTCAAAAGAAATATGCTTTCGAAGTAAAATCAGTTCACCTTTATAAATCAAATAAAAGTTCTGTTTATGAGAATGACGTCTAAGTTTATTGCAGAAATTTAGTTTTATAGAGGAAAACTATATTCTTACAACAAAATGTGTAATGCACAGGCTCTAAAGATGAGCAGTTTACATGCTATGTGTAAGACCAATGCATGTATAAATGTGGGAAGTTTTATTCTCCTGTTTTACAAGTTTATATTCATGACCTTTACATTATAAAAATTATGTATTTGTTGCAGTAAAATATCCAATCTTAAAACAAATGTCAAAGTAAACGAGTGAACTATATGTGTCCTCCTTCTCCATCTTCTAGTAGTAATTCCCAGAAAGACTATTTGTAGTTTTAAAAGCTTTAAGAAAAAGGATGTATATGCCCACAAACAAACGTGTAATTATGCTTGTACACATAGACACAACATTGACAAAGCACAGACTGAAGGACAGAGCTGTAACCACACAGAAGTTCCGTCATAACGTATCACAGGACTTTCAGGAGGTGTGCTGGTGACACTACTTTTTACCTTCAGTTTCAGCCCCTGACAGTTACTTACTTTTTTTCACTTGTAAGAATCATTTTCAAAACCAATAGAAGTAAACAACCCTCCCAAAACAACAACAACAAAAACAAACAAAGAAACAAATGAAATAACAACAAAAGAAACCCTTTCAGCAAAAAACTCTTCTCTGCCCAGGTAGAAGCCCAGTACTTCCATACAGTTCTTTCTTTAAATATTAGCTTATTTTTTTTAAAGATTTGTCTGTTTATTTTTTTTAATAATTTTTTTTATTAAGAAAAGAAGAAAAAAAAACATAAACAAAAAACAAGTTTCCACCTCCTCCCAGCCTCCCATTTCCCTCCCCCTCCTCCCACCCTTCTCCCCCTCCTCCCACCTTCTACCCCTTCCCCCACTCCTCTCCCCCTCCCTCTCCAGTCCACAGAGCAGTCCAGGTTCCCTGCCCTGTGGTAAGTCCTAGGTCCTCCCCCCTCCGTCCATATCTAGGAAGGTAAACATCCAAACTGGCTAGGCTTCCACAAAGCCAGCACATTAAGTAGGATCAAAACCCCGTGCCATTGTCCTTGGCGTCTCATCAGCCCTCATTGTTCGCCATGTTCAGAGAGTCCGGTTTTATCCCATGCTTTTTCGGTCACAGTCCAGCTGGCCTTGGTGAGCTCCCAGTAGATCAGCTCCACTGTCTCAGTGGGTGGGTGCACGCCTCGTGGTCCCGACTTCTTTGCTCATGTTCTCCCTCCTTCTGCTCCTCATTGGGACCTTGGGAGCTCAGTCCAGTGCTCCAGTGTGGGTCTCTGTCTCTGTCTCCAACCATCACCAGATGAAGGTTCTATGATGATATGCAAGATATTCGTCAGTATTGCTCTCGGATAGGGTCATTTCAGGTTCCCAATCCTCAGCTACCCAAGGAACTAACTGGGAACCTCATGTTGGGCACTTGGGAGCCCCTCTAGGGTCAAATCTCTTGCTCACCCTAAAGTGGTTCCCTTAACTAAGAATTGTGGTTCCGTGCTCCCCTATCCACCTTTCCTTTATCCCAATTCTCCTGATTCCCCAAATCCCCCCTCCTTCCCTTCTACCTTTTCTCTCCCCATCTCCCCTTACCCCCATCCCACCCCACCCCCAAGATCCTAATTTTCTCCCCGGCAATTGGGTCTACTTCCCTTAGCCAAGAGGATAACTATATGTTTTTCCTTGGGTTCACCTTCTTACTTAGCTTCTTTAGGTTCACCTATTGTAGACTCCGTGGCCCTAATTTATGGCTAGAAACCAATTATGAGCGAGTACATCCCATGTTCATCTTTTTGGGTCTGGGACACCTCACTCAGGATAGTGTTTTCTATTTCCATCCATTTGCCTGCAAAATTCGAGAAGTCATTGTTTTTTACCGCAGCGTAGTACTCTAGCGTGTATATATTCCATACTTTCTTCATCCATTCTTCCATTGAAGGGCATCTAGGTTGTTTCCAGGTTCTGGCTATTACAAATAATACTGCTATGAACATAGTTGAACAAATGCTTTTGTCATGTGATAGAGCATCTCTTGGGTATATTCCCAGGAGTGGTATTGCTGGGTCCAGGGGTAAGTTGATCCCGAATTTCCTGAGAAACCGAAACACTGACTTCCACAGTGGTTGCAAAAGATGGCATTCCCACCAGCAATGGATGAGGGTACCCCTTCCTCCACAGCCTCTCCAGCAAAGGTTATCCTTGGTGTTTTTGACTTTAGCCATTCTGACAGGTGTAAGATGATATCTCAAAGTTGTTTTGATTTGCATTTCCCTGATTGCTAAGGAAGTTGAGCACGACTTTAAGTGTCTTTTGGCCATTTGAACTTCCTCTGCTGAGAATTCTCTGTTCAGTTCAGTGCCCCATTTTTTAATTGGGTTAATTAGCATTTTAAAGTCTAGTTTCTTGAGTTCTTTATATATTTTGGAGATCAGACCTTTGTCTGTTGTGGGGTTGGTGAAGATCTTCTCCCAATCAGTAGGTTGCCTTTGTGTCTTATTGACTATGTCCTTTGCTTTACAGAAGCTTCTCAGTTTAAGTAGGTCCCATTTATTCAATGTTGCCCTTAATGTCTGTGCTTCTGGGGTTATACATAGGAAGCGATCTCCTGTGCCCAGCTCCTGTAGGGTACTTCCCACTTTCTCTTCTATCAGGTTCAGTGTGTTCGGGCTGATATTGAGGTCTTTAATCCATTTGGACTTGAGTTTTGTGCACGGTGATAGATAAGGGTCTATTTTCATTCTTCTACAAGATGACATCCAGTTGTGCCAGCACCATTTGTTGAAGATGCTTTCTTTCTTCCATTTTATACTTTTAGCTCCTTTATCGAAAATCAGGTGTTCATAGGTTTGTGGGATAAAATCCGGGTCTTCTATACGATTCCATTGGTCGACTTCTCTGTTTTTATGCCAGTACCACACTGTTTTCATTACTGTAGCTCTGTAATAGAGTTTGAAGTCAGGGATGGTAATACATCCAGAAGATCCTTTATTGTATAGGATTGTTTTGGCTATCCTGGGTTTTTTGTTTTTCCATATAAAGTTGATTATTGTCCTCTCCAGATCTGTGAAGAATTTTGATGGGATCTTGATGGGGATTGCATTGAATCTATAAATAGCCTTTGGTAGAATTGCCATTTTTACTATGTTGATCCTCCCAATCCAAGAGCAAGGGAGGTCCATCCATTTTTTGGTATCCTCTTCAATTTCTTTCTTCAATGCCTTAAAGTTCTTGTCAAATAGATCTTTCACTTCCTTGGTTAGATGTACCCCAAGATATTTTATGCTGTTTTTGGCTATTGTGAATGGTGAAGCTTCTCTGATTTCCCTCTCTGCTTCCATATCCTTTGTGTATAAGAGGGCGACTGATTTTTTGGAGTTGATCTTGTATCCTGCCACATTACTAAAGCTGTTTATCAGCTGTAGGAGTTCTTTGGTGGAGTTTTTGGGGTCGCTTATGTACACTATCATATCATCTGCAAATAACGAAAGTTTAACTTCTTCCTTTCCAATTCGAATCCCCTTGATCCCCTTTATGTTTTCTTATTGCTATTGCTAGAACTTCAAGCACTATATTGAAGAGGTATGGCGAGAGTGGACAGCCTTGCCGTGTTCCTGAGTTAAGTGGGATGGCTTTGAGTTTCTCTCCGTTTAATTTGATGTTAGCTGTCGGCTTGCTGTATATAGCTTTTATTATATTTAGGTATGACCCTTGTATCCCTAATCTCTCCAAGACTTTTAACATAAATGGATGTTGAATTTTGTCAAATGCTTTTTCAGCATCTAATGAAATGATCATATGGTTTTTTTCTTTCAGTTTATTTATATGCTGGATTACATTGATAGATTTTCGTATGTTGAACCAGCGCTGCATCTGAGGAATGAAGCCTACTTGATCATAATGGATAATTTTTCGGATGTGTTCTTGGATTCGATTTGCCAGTATTTTGTTGAGGATTTTTGCGTCGATATTCATGAGTGAGATTGGCCTGTAGTTCTCTTTCCTGGTTGAGTCTTTGAGTGGTTTTGGTATCAGAGTAATTGTGGCTTCATAAAAGGAGTTTGGTAATGACCCTTCTGTTTCTATCTTGTGGAATACATTAAGGAGTATAGGTATTAGCTCTTCTTGGAAGATCTGGTAGAATTCCGCATTGAAACCATCTGGTCCTGGGCTTTTTTTGGTAGGGAGGTTTTTGATAACCTCTTCTAATTCTTCGCGACTAACAGGTCTATTTAGATTGTTCACCAGGTCCTGATTTAACTTTGGTATATGATATTTATCTAAAAAAGTATCCATTTCCTTTACATTTTCCAATTTTGTGGCATATAGGCTTTTGTAGTAAGATCTAATGATTCTCTGAATTTCCTCTGTGTCTGTGGTTATGTCCCCCTTTTCATTTCTGATCTTATTAATTTGCAAATTCTCTCTCTGCCGTTTGATTAGCTTGGATAGTGGTTTGTCAATCTTGTTGATTTTCTCCAGGAACCAGCTTTTTGTTTCATTGATTTTTTGTATTGTTTTCTGTGTTTCTATTTTGTTGATTTCAGCCCTCATTTTGATTATTTCCAGTCTTCTACTCCTCCTAGGTGAGTCTGCTTCTTTTTTTTCTAGAGCTTTCAGGTGGGG